AACTGGTCATCACTATAATACTGAATATTATGCGGCACTGAATAAACAGTAAGCTAAATTATGTTTACGTACACAGATCCTTATCTATTACAGTCTTCTTTATAGAGATCGACGTAAATATTACGAAATTTTTCGTCTATATTTGCTAGAAAATTCACTTTATGATCTATGGTTCATCTTAAACTCAATAAACAGTTGTGCGATTAATTAATAAAGAAAACGAAATTAGTGTTAAACCTAATTATTTGTATGGTAGGTTATCGTTATTGTTAAAAAAACATGAATTTAATTTTCTTACTTATATATATAACAGCTTTAGTTTTCTTATAAAAGAGGGTAAATTCATGCTCAAATAATTGATCAGTAGTCTCTTGGTTTCGATCAGTTTTTCCCTTATCACTGATTTCTAATAAGAAAGTGTACATGTTTTAGTTGAGAAACACAACTTTTATGAAAGCTACAACAGCTGTACTCCTTTCACCTTTTAAGGGTAAAATATCCTGTGACAATACCAACATTTCGTACAGTCAGCCCGTGAAGTAATTGACTGTTAAAATGAGTTGTGTAAACTTCTTGTTTGTGCTGATGCAGTAGTCGTAAACTACGATCGAACCTGTTGAATGACACGGTTCAAAACCAATTGTGTTGATATAGTTTCGCCAATGTCTATCTTCTAAATCATAAGCATATTACAACTTCATACTTTTCAATCCCTGATCGTGTTAATTTTGCAGCACAATCGATATTATCACTCCTTTTCTCTTTGCTATTGTTCGCTTCGTTGATTTCTTCTCTAACTGTCCATTTACACGAAGGATGTAACGTAAATCGGTTCACATACGTAAAATATTTGAAGTCGTGTGTTTCTAAGTAGTAACATTCAGTTTCATATTCACTTTCACATATAATGTCTTCTCTGTTCTCGGCGCCCAATTTCTGTCAAACTATTCGTTCTAATCTTGACAAATATTCGTATAAACATTCAGTTCTGTTATTTAACTTATTATTATGAATGTATGGAATAGTCCAATTTTTTTCCACATAATACTCTTAGATTTGGGATCATTATTTTAGGCCTGTCTTGTATAAACACCACACATTTACGTCAAATAAGCATAGATATACACACACCTGTTCCTCATTATTCATTTAATGATTTTTAATTCCTTTATTTAAGTTGGTTTAAGATTGTGGTTGGAGGTAGTCAACAGGAGACCCTGGACCTAGGTTTCGTGCTTCTTGGCACTCGTCAGCAAGGTGTACCTGTAATCCTGAGGGAACTGATGCTCCCTGACGGATTCGATCCGCACTAAAAATGACCTGACATACATGACATTGATCACCACCCAGTGATCAATCAACTGAGTTGCTCTCTTTGTTCTGTAAATGATTTTGGTTAGGGCTGTCGTTATTACATTCATATGTACATTTTTATTCTAAGCGTACGTCACACATGTTTATGATATTCGAACAACGGTGTATTGTTTAAAAATGTTTTCTAATAAGCAATTATATGACGTAATAATACATTGTCATTAACATACTTTTCTCTCCTCTCTGTTGTATTTCGCTCTCTTGTATCAATCGTCTAATTTCAGACTTCAATTATCGATTATATCACGCTAAGCTCACGCATGAAATCACATGTATTGTGATTACGTATTTATGATGCAAACGTCTGCTTTGTTTGTTTATATATTATATTCATTGTACGTGTGTGTTTGTAAGCTATATGTATTCTGATTTCTTTGTTCAAGTCTACGCTCATTTTTTTATATAGTTTATACACTGTTATCAGCTGATGATGTATCAAATGTTCCATATAAGAGAAAAAACATCATCAATGGTCAATACTTTCTCGAGATGTCTGTCTCAAACAGTTAAAAATTTAGTTTAGCACCATGTATAAATGGTGTTAACATATTAACCCTTCAAAGTATTGAAGATTTCGATAATGTAATAAGAAGACGAAGATTATCAGAACTATGTGATATATTAGCGCAATATGTTTCGAACAATCTGATCACACATATACTTGTTAAGAGCATTTATGTATAAGAATAAAAGGTGAACTAGACTAGAAATGGAGGGTACGAGGAGATAAGGATAATTATAACAGTAGTAATAATAATAATGTGAACACAATTCGAAACCCAATCACTCTGGATAATAAGTCAAAATTACCAGGGTAGGTTTAAGGTTAGAACAAACTGTTTTTGAACACACAAAGGGGGTTTGAATTTTCGTATGGCTAAGGTTTCAATAAACCTTTTACACTTTTATACAACACCACAAAGGTTGAGTTAAGATCAATCTTATGGTCTGTTTCAATTATATGTTTAGCAATAGAGGATGATGGATGTTTATCCTCTGCTCTTATTGGGTCACCTGATTGTATTTGTTTCTACAGCTATTTGGGTACATGTTCACACACCCTAATTTTGAGATCACGATTGCTCCTCCCTGTGTATGTGTGACCACACACATATATAAATTGGTAGACAGAGTGGGACGTGACACTACTGGTTTTGGATGAAGCATGCACCTTGTTCTTTCTTTGATAATGACCTTTGCTACGCAATACGTTTTACTGACGACTGATTTACGTCTTTGTTTCAATAAAAGGCTACTTGAATCACCTCTGAATGGTAAGGTGATATAGACAGGCTTTTTTATTACTCTTATTATTATCCTTATCTCCTCTTACTCCGTTTCCAGTATAGTTGACCTTTTATTTTTATATATAAATGCTCTTAACAAGTATATGTGTGATCAGATTGTTCGAAATGTATTGCGCCAATATATCACATAATTCTGATAATCTTCGTCTTCTTATTACAGTATTGAAGATTGTTTTAAAAGAACTTTGCTATTATTAACTAGAAAACGTTTTCCACTATGTTTCTCATATCTGAACTGGATGCTTTCAACCGATGTAACAGAATAAATTCTAGTTTGGTTAAGTTGAATTATTGGTTTATAGCAGTCCACTGTTTTCTTGGTGATAAAGCATATAAAGTTCCCTCACCTTTTATTGAAATCATATAGTTATTTTGATTTATTTAGTCATAAGTTGTTAGTGATTATTTTACTTATTTATTTATTTAATTCACATATAATTTGGCACAGAGTTGGGCACCAAAAGTAGTATACGCCACACGAACTTTGTGTGTGTGTGTGTGTGGTGGGTAAGGTACTACGCGAGTTTCCAAAATAGGTGGTTGGGTTAGTATGTAACTCTCCGAATCTTTAACCTAAAGGCTTAGTTAATAAGGTAGTGGAGTATCCTCAAAATCTGCCGTGATCAGAAACAGATTCATACGCTGTTTTTATTCCTCCGAGATTCTGATGTCCACTTACACTGTTGGTTTAGAATTAGGGTTTTCCGTTTACCCCTTAAATAAATCCGTCATATGGGCTAATCTGGTTTGTGTACAAGATGTTCTTACAATTTATTCGCGCCACAAATTTGAACAAAGTAAGGACGGTTCATTGTATTTCGTTGCTTTCTTTTCTTCAGCTAACATACAAAGTAGTAATATTTACATATTTCCAATCATTAACAAAATCTTCAATTTGAAATAGATTGTAAATAACCAGTGGATCGTCTGGAATGTGAAACAGAGTTAGTGTTTTTTAAACAGGTTTTTTATAATTGGTCAAGATGATAGTTGTGGAAAATATTCAAGATAATATTGTCTGCGTAATACAACAAAATTTATTTTCTGAAGTTTATGAATGAAAAGAAGGGCGTGTGAGTTTAACCCACTTGATTCTATTCACATTCCTTTTTCTGAATTCCAAACAACCTACTCGTTATTGACAGTTGGTTTTCCAAATTTAACATTGCGTTAATATTTCTTTGAAATCATGAACTGATTTAACTAGATAGCCATTAAAAAGCTAGGAGCACTGAACGACTATTTCACACTAGTATGGGACTCCTCAGAAGTGCGCATCCACAATCCCGCACCAAATGGAATCGTCAGTCAGTCCGAATCGGACCTATGACGTTTTGTCTCGTGCACGAACACATCACCCCTAAACTGCTGAGCAAACATCCAACGGTGTTAATGTCTAGACTCGGTCAATTCACAAAATTGAACAACCACCTTCCATTGTTTTTGGTGGGAAGTTGTCTCACACCCTCCATGGATTAACTACAATGGTCACGGCTCCTTACCACAATTCTGAAGATTTTCTCTCGAAGCCAGTCATTACTCAGCACATAGTGACTCTCGATTTGGGTTTGTGGAGATTGTTGAGTTTCATTAAAATCAATAGTGCTGTGGAGTTCAATACTAGGACGAAACGGTCGTCCTGTGCTTCCAGATTTTAAATGGTTGTCTAGCCTAAATCGGTTTATGATTTCAATGAAATTCAACCGTCTGTCTTACTTTCTTAAAACCCAATCAGTAACGGAAACATACGGATCTTTTCGTACTTATATTTTGAAATCTATTTATAGGTTGTGCGTACGTTGTTGATATCTAAGTTTGTTCTCATGGTAAAACTATTTCATACGAACTTTCGCTTCTGATTGTTTAAACATAGTAACCACTCACATTGTTCTACGTACACCACCTTATATAATTACGGTTCAATCTATCATGTTAAATTTGGTTATTCTGAGTCACAGAAAGTGGTTTATCTATTCATCTTGTTTATACTTCATCTTCGTTGATCTATGTTCATAATATATTTGAGAGTAGTTATAAACACACATTGATCAGCAGACAGTGTAAAATTTCTCCCAACTGTTTCCCCTATACTACTAGCGATTTGGCATTGACGTAAATTATGTTTTTCGGATATTCATATGTAGCTGAAAATGTTTAATAGTTATCTTCATAAATAGGTTTTCGATTATCCGTTCGTGTAGGTAATATGTATTCATTTCCTATCCTTCACTCATAAACAAATAAATTTTGACTGCAACTTCGAATGCACTGTTTTGCACCGTAGATCTATAGGCTTTCATCTCTTTTTCTGTTTTACAGCTTGTGAACAAGTAATACGTAGTATGTTGTCGAAAGAACCGAACGATCGTCCGACAACAAAACGTATCAGTCAATTTCCATGGTTCACTTCATCAACAATTCCACATAATCATTATCACGATAAACTAATTGCAAATGTTATGTCTAACTCATTGGCCACAATGCATTTAACTAATCAACCTGTCCCTACACCAACAACGTTACGACAAACATTGTCACCCTGTGGTGCTAATTCAAATATTTTAAATAAATCCACAGACTGTGATTTAGTTCAACCCACGTTTGTTTTGAAACATTGTTCTTGTGATTGCTCTTCGAAATTCTCATGGAGTAAAGACGATCTACAAAGTCCTGGGCCTAATTTAGCGGCTGAAATGAAAGTAAGTCATTTTTCTCAAGTTAACACTTAAGCTGATTTAAATTGGCTCTGTTATTTTTTTCCCTACTATTTTTACATAATTTCGTCCACATTGTATTGTATCGTGACTTAATGAAGTAAATAAGTTTAAGTATTCTCGAGATCACTGTATTTTGTTGTTTCACAGCGCTTAATGCTTTTAAATCATATTTTTACGATTCGTGACTTCATTCTGTTGCTATTTTTTAAAGGTTGGTAAATTAAATGAATTAGTTATTATGATTATGGAGTCCTATGGAATGTGTCGCACTCAAATTCTCAAAGTGAGTTATCATCCGAGTGATTTTTAAAAAAAAAGTATACTCATCTTTATTTATCATTTAGGTAACTGATTCTAAGATAACATATGTAGAACCTAATTTTAAGCTATCGAATAACTTATATTTCTTTCACAAGCGATTTTTAGCGATGTATTTCAAGCTTGTGGTATTAAACATAATCGGAAACACGGACGAGTATCATCTTAAAACATCGTCTGTTTACTATGGTATATTTTATGTAATTGGTAATATCTACCTATTCTGTTTAGTCGATAAGCTTAAAACCCTAAGTGGAAAGTATTTTGGTTCTTTTATTAAGTATATAAGCGTAAATCTTGTCTAAAAATGTAATTATAAGTCTCTAATATTTAAACTTTTTCATTTTATTTGCCTAAAGCAATTAACTCGATCTTCACATTTAACCGTTAACTCAGTGGATTATTATTTCATTTTGACCAGCATTAACTTACAGCTGATGCGTTAACTGGTGTCCTCTGTCTGTAATTCATATTGTTTGAATTGTATTCAGCTACAGTAGCGTAGCGTGTTCATAACTATTGGTCCTTGTAAAAATCCTATCTAGGTTTTGGTTATAACTTATCATGTGTCATTCCTATATTACTTTATGATAATCAACAAACTCTGTATCCTAAACGGACTAATCCAAGTGAATTAGTTGCATCCATAATTGTTACCAAGTATCAAACTAACTGCCAACTTATGGAAGTGTATAGATTATCATTAACTACATTTACAAGGTTATACAAAACTTGATGATAGCATGCCAATTAGTAATTTTCAGAGGCTCCTCGAATAGTTCGCCTGATTTATTTCCTCAGCAATGTCGTTCAGACTGCCCCGTGCTCCTCCTTGGTCGGTGACGACCGTTCCAATAAATGAAGCGGAAGTGTTCTAGGTTTGTCTTTTAAGGAATGCTATACCTGAGGATTTTATCACTGTCGTAAAGCTCTATGTGAATATACTTTAAATGGATTGAGGCCAAAAAACCATAAACGGACTGTTATACAGCCTGTCGGTGGAAGCAGCTCTTCGTTTGCTTGCTAAACTCCCTCTGCCTCAGCCGTGGGTAGTCGTTAACTCGGTGTGCTCGATCATCACTGTTTAAAATATTCTCGATACCCGAAAAAAACTTTTTATCAGTTAGATGAATCGTCATTAAATGAATGAAATTTCGAACAAACTGATCCCAAATATACTTGTTAGGAACATTTATTTATGGAAAATTAAACGGTCAACTAGACAAATGTAAGGTTAGAGGAAACAAAAATAATAGAAAAAATTATGTTAAAAGCAATGTGAAACTCACCACACTGGATAATAAAACAATATTACTTGGGTAGGCTAAGGGTGGAAACATACTGTTTTTGAAAACAAAAGGGATTTCAATTTTAGTGTGACCAAAGCTTCAATAAACCTTAATATGCGTCCTTAAACACTTTTGTACAAAACCACAAGAGCCGAGTTAAGATCACTGTTGTCACCTGTTTCAACTATGTGTTTAGCAACAGAGGATAATGAATGTTTATCATCTACTCTTATTGAGTAATTTGATTTCATCATTCATCACATAGTTCTGATGATTTTCGTATTCTTATCACAGTATCCAAATTTGGCAAATAGACTAATTGTTTTAAATGAAAATCCTAATTGAATTGTAACTATTAGTGACTACTATTCTTATCGATTACTGATATGAATTTTCTTTCTTTTATTTCTTCACTTTAAGATCCCCCACTATCTTTTTTGCATGCCATATTTTATCAAAAACAAACAATATGGTAATGTATGGACTCTCCATACCAACTTATTCATAGTATGACTTGGGAAAGCTCTATTGTTAGGGTTATGTTATCAATTTACGTTTCATAATTAAACAGAGCAACTGAAGGACTCATTAAAGCATACCTTCTGTTAATTCCCTTCTTTCCCATTGCTTATTTTTATTCTTGTGTTTTACAGTCACTTCTACGTTGTGCTTACGATCATCTGACAGCTACTTACCTCTTATTGGGTGAGAAATTACGTTTGCATAATCTAAACATTGATTCATCGACTACACCTATTACAGATTCTGGAATAATTATACCTAATTGTGACCATCCAACAACATCATGTTATTCAATTATGGCTCCTGAGCATAAAAGTTTCAATACCACTCCTGATTCTGTTATGATGCCGAATTCTATTCCATCACCCCAACCATTATCATCGTCGATTTCCGTACCACAACCAAACTATTCAACTATACCTACAAGTATACCTCCAGTTTTCCCACTGTCCTCCATAAATTCAATGAATATGGACCTTCCTTTATCTAGTTGCTCTTCATCTATGGAACAATTAGATGAATCTACAAATAATATCAACTGTTTTGCCGATACCTCAATCGATAATAGTGATCATAAGGACAGTGTTTCGCAAATAATCGATAGAACAGAAAGTGATAATTTAACTGTTGATTCAGCATATGGTGTTGCTTTACAGTCCACATATGTTAATAACTCTGTTTCAGATCGTGTTATAGTAAGTCTTGATAACTCATTCGTCATTAGTTATTAGCGAGTGTTTTACTTTTTTTCTATATTGAAAATGACAATATTTTATCATCTCACTTGAATACAAAATTAAAAAAGCGATGTTCTATAGCAGCTACATTAAGATTCTAATATCTATTCAACACGATGAACAATTATAGTCTGTTATGATGACATATAGTTATTGATAAAATGCCAACTTGAAAACTAATGATATTCGATAAATTCTTGTCGATGACACAAATCATCCGATAAAATGTTATGTAAAATAAACTTGAGTGTAATGAATATGGAATGGAAAATCGAAAATTCAAATGAAGAGTTAACAGTTCAGAAATTTATTTGAAAGCATAAAAATTTGTAAAAGGGAGCACCAAAATATACATGCGCCACACAATAAAGATGTAGTTGTTAAGAGATAGAGAAAGGAAGGTGAGCATAAAAAAAGAACAAAGATGAATCAGAAGTAGTGGATAAAACTGAAGAAAATAACAATATGGGAAGCAGTTCAGTTATGAAAAATACAATCAAATTCGTTGTGACGACATTCCTAGTAACTGTCTAAGCCACCGAAGTCAGTGTTTCAGAATGCTCACACCAACTGGATTATCGTCACTGTGCTCAAACACGCGTTGCCGAACCTTTGCATTCAGAAATAGTTCAGTTGATGTTTAATGTCCATGGATGTTTGTCTTGTGTTTTATTGTTTAAAGTAGATGGAAGGAAATTAAAACAGCCGTTAGTTTTGTAAATATATGAATAATATAATTCATGAGTGGTGGAGAAAGGAGGTATATGTTAACAGATGCCATTGGAATAATACTACTACGTATCCCATAAGTTTATCATAAAACGTCGGCTTGTACTGCAGGTTCATCTCTGCAAACTGCCTCACATTAATTCTGTTGGGTTGATTTAAGCTATCAAAGACTAAAGGCAATTAAACTAGTTGAATGATAATTTCCACTTTATGCAATTTCAATCGGATCTCTATACTACTTGAATAGTGTTCTTGAAACTAAGCAATCAGGGTCAGTAAATTTATACGAAGGTATTGGATAGGGGAAGTCATAAATTATGCATCATAACGACGATAATAAACTACTATGTCTAGAGATTGGTCGCCAATGTTATATCTGGGTATGTCGTCACTCGACTCTTGGGTCCGTAGACTTACTGTTTATACTTGGAAATAGGAAAAACTGATGAAATAAGGACTTAATAGCCCTCCAAAAACAAGTCTTCAAATAAATCCTGAAATCACATCCTCATTAAACTAAAGTAAAATCATTTGTGCACTAATTTCTACACATATCATAGAGGCAAATATATAGTTATTGTGAAAACACACACGGGCTATAGTTCACGTGAATTAATGTAGGGGATACAATTGTCACACTGAACAAAAGTTTACACCTGTCTGACAAATCCATATTTAATGAAAGTTGGTCAGTGGCAGCAACAGATTGTTAGTATACACAACATAATAAATTTCTCTTCACTCTTACCTTCCATTGGATAGATCACATTAGGATGTCTGCTAATTAATTACAAAAGACAACTGTTTGTATTTCACTAGAAGTAAATTTCCTCAGGATTAAGGTATAAGTATTGCATATACTTGTAAATAGCATATTTTAAATAACTGGATCGGTTAGAAACGCGATCATCCAATTATTCTCGTCTTTCATAAGTCTCCTGAAATACATGTAATTGAGTTTTTCTTAACATATGTCATATGTTAGTTCAATTTCTAATTGTTTAAACCAGATATCATGCTTCTATTCATTTTGTATTTTTACAGCTTCAGTCTTATTTGCCTGTGGAGGATGAACTAAGAATTGTCAGTGGTGGTACTGGTAATGTTACTGTTGGTGGCAGACCGCAACATCGTGTTTTAGCTAGACGAAAATATGGAATCTGCAGTCCACCAGCCTGTTTAGAAGAAATAAAGCAGGCTTTGATTTCACAACAACACCAACCACCACTCATAAATGAGAGGAATATTACAGATGGTGATTTACCATGATTATTGATAGTAAAATAGTATCTAACATATATACATACCTATTCCTTTCTAAAGAAATAATAATGATGAGATGGATTGATTGTATTTTATTTGTTCACAATATTTGTAACAAAAAGTAATCAATTAACACAAAATCACTGGGAATTCTTGTTTTTTATCAACAATATGTAATTATATCCCCACACCCCATCCGTTACTCTCAAATTTTATTTTTTCACATTATGGGATGAATGCAAAGCAAATATGTAGACAGATATGAAAACCCACAAGAGAATATACACCATCGTCATTGGACCTTATTTATTCATAGTCTTTCGCGATATAATAATAAATCCAATTTTTGTCATTTAACTTCATTGCTTTTTTCGTTATTTTTGCATTGTTTCACAGATAGTTTTTATTGGTTTGTGACATGTTTTTTCTCTGTAAAAAGCAACTATGTACTCAGTCAAAGAATCTAGATATATCCCATCTTACATAAACTGTCACTGCAAAGGTGGAACTTGATATCATTTACAATACAATAGTGTTGACCATTTCTTTGTTTCTCTCATCATGGTGATTTTTCCCTGCTCTTATTTCTACGCTTCTCTGTTTTGTCCAAACAAAAACTGTCCTCTTTCTCAATACAGCATTTTACTTTTTTGATATCTAATTATCATTGACTTGGAAATTGTGAATACATATTCACACTCACTAATAAGATAATAGATATCGTGTTTTTATTGAACTTTTAATGAAACAGCACTTGTCACATAATTCATGTTTTGCATGTGTGACTATATATTTATTCATTATATTATTAGAGATATAGATTCACTCAATACTCTGGTATTAATTTTCCATTTGTCTATCTTTCATGTATCATGCATTGTGTACATAAAAGCTGTGTATTGTAAATTTTATGAAAAATCCCGGAGTAAAGCTTACTAATTATGTAACAAGTTGTATTGTGTATACCTGTACTGATTGGATAATTGTGTCTAAGCTTTATGTTTTGATTTTCTATTCACTGCCATATTTTTTATTATTTGAGCGTCTTACTTAACATATGTTTATCCACACACACGGAACTTCTGTACTCTTCACATCCTAGTCCTAATACGGAATATGTTTACATATTATTTTCTTTTATTCACTCAATACATGAGCAAAACAAGATGTAGTGTGGTTATGAAGTAACAAACGCATATTATCGATTCCATATTGTCTGACGATTGAGTACATAGCTTGAATAAAGCCAATTATCATCAAGAAAGTAAATTCTTGAACAGCTATATTTCCCGAATTCTTAGGTTCGTTTAATGCGAATGATCAGCATTTTAAGATATTTTCCACTTTTTGATGCTCGAATGTATTAAGTACCAGGCGATTACTTATGATGATGGGTCACTTAAGAAGTCTTTATTCAAGATGTTCAGTATGTGTATTAAATTTGAAATCTCAACTCCGAGGTTCATTGGCAATGCCAGCAGATTCCGTGATCTATTGCCGATAACAGCATGTAACCCAAGAATTTCTAAGGTTAACTTTGATGTGACATGAATAGTCAGATCACTGTAAGTAAAGTAGGTCGTTGAAATATGTAAGACTAACTATGGTGTCAAGGGATTTATCTGATAACGACGACCGCTCCGGTGTTGATAACATCAGTGAAAATAATTTATTTATAGGTGTTTAGTATCGACATATTTATTCATTAATAATACTTATGAATCTAAACTGTTTGTAATGTAAATTTACACAATAAGTCATAAAAAATGTATTTAGTGAAATAATTTTTTAGCGAGTTCATTTTCAAGGCTGTACAACCATATATATATATATATATATATATATATATATATATGAATGATAAATTACGGTCCAATGAATAACTGTCTGCTAAAATCCAGTCAGTTGTGATGTGCAATTTGTCTACATGATCATCAAGTGAACAAGTTATTACAGGGGGGGGGGAATTTACAGAACATGCGAAACGTACAATCAATAGGTTAAACAAGAGATCTGTCCATCGTTAATTCGAAATAAAGTGTGAACGGTAATCACGAGATCTGAGTAGTAACGACGTTTGTATGAATAAGGAAATGGAGTCATTCTTTAAAATTCGGGAAAGAAAGATCTAAAGGAAAGAAAAAGAACAAATGTATTAAATAAAACTATAAACAAGAACTAGATGGATATAAAAATTTGTTTTTGTTTACAAAACTCGCATTTTCAATTCAGGACAGTTAAAGCTTCCATAATTTAAAGTAGGCTTGAACGTGAACTTTGGGATCCTTGGCCTGACTTTTGTAGTTGATGTCAAGGGAGTTAAATATTTCGAATCTAGTACATGACACAGAGTAAATAACGTAATTAACTTGTGCTGTTCTTACTTAAGTTATACTGCTAGGTGCTTCCAAATTCGACATCGTTCTCATCGAAACGCGTAGCAGGTAGACTGGTATACACACATATTGGTCAGCTGTAGCAACTTATCTTTCACATTAGAATCATATGAGTATAATTTCAGTAGATACTAGAAGGAATAAGTTGTCTAATCAGCAAATTTTACGATATCGACAGCATAGAGAATGGATGAGATCTTTTTTTGTAGATATTGGAAACCAACTATGATAATTTTCCAGTTGTTCTTACCAAGTAGATTATACATGGACGTTTGTATTGATCCATCATTACTTTTAGTGAATAGGACAGCAAATGCAAGAAGTGTTTATTCACATTCTTATTTTTAATTGGTGGAATGGAGATATTAAAAGACTGTAGAATATATTGGACACCAGATTGTTCATCACACACTATGAATGTGTTACTAACACACTTTCTATACAAAAATTTTAGTAATTGTCGTATTTGAACTGCTAATTTTGATGTTAGCTATGGAAAATCTAACTGTAAAGGACCCACTGGAGAACCCAAATTTACGTACAGAAATATCAAACGATTAAAGCTGAACAGTGCATTCAGAATACCTTCTTTTAAATAAAACTTAGGAAATTCTAGATACATACTATTAGCATAAATAAAATTAAAAATGAAAAATATGATGTGTGCTAAATATTGTACATTAAGCCAATACTTGCCAAAAATGCAAATTTTTTTACTCAACTTTTCCATCTACTGATGACTTTCACACAGGTAAGAAGAGTAATGAGAAACTAAAGAATATCTGATCGCATCGATAAGCAGATATATCTTAATTTAGTAAATTACTGTATGATACAAGCGAAATAATCGATAAGCTGTTAGAATTTATTTTTAGCAGCTGAGATATCTATAGTACATTACGTGGATTTCATAGAATATTCATTTGATTTTATATTAGATGATTCAGCGATCTTTGTTTGGCAAGGTAAAAGTGTACATACATATATTATTTGAAATGTTTTCAACTTTCAAATCGAAACAACATTGACGTCAAGATGCATTCATAACAACAACAGAACTATATGATTTCTTGTCATTAAATTCATTTGACAAATTATTGTCTGAATAAAAAGATGATAACAATGATTTAATTACTTAATTTCGACAAACTAAATTGAATAAAAATTATGAATATCTTGATTAGTTTCGATAAGTTGAGTTTTTGGCGTAATACAAATCAAAAGTGAAATATTTATGTAAACAAGAATTTTCTTATGATATAAACAAGCGTCATATATCATTTCATTACGTACGTATGGCAAACGTTACATAAATCACATCAGATTAAAAGGCTAAATAGACTAAGTAGTCGAACAAACACGAATATTTTGAAGTTTAATATTAGATTAAGAAAAATAGTGAAAATACCAATCCCCAGGTCATGGGATTTTTTTAAGTGACTATACACCACTGTACCTTTCTTGCGAGCACCCGATGATTTGTTTAAAAAGGATTGCTATTTTTGATACGACAAAGTCGATGGGTAATAGATTAATATTAGAAAATTGTTTTGTAATTTCAAATTCTTAAAAACATATTTATCTAATTCAGACGACTTGACACACAATAGATTTGTAAACATTCAAAATGGAGATATCAGTTTAGATTAGACACTTCGCAGAATAGACAGCACGGTTGATTCTTCTGGTAACTTTATTACATCTTAAATCCAGTTAATGTGAAGTGCTGGATCTTCACAACACTTATTTACATGTTAGGCGGTTGGGGATAATCGGCAGGAGAATTCGATCTAGGTTTTATGCTAGTTGGCATTCGTCGCTAAAGTCCACTTGCCATCTCGTGGGTGCCCATTCTCCCTGCGCGATTTAAATCTAAATAACCCACCTTCAGAGTCCTGCCAACTACTTCCAACTTCCTAGCATTTTCATATAGTGTACGTGATATCCAATAACTGGGACCAGTGAAATACAATGCAAATTTATTTCTAGAATTCGATCGCCAGTAAAGTACTTGGGAGACGTGATATCGGTCGCTATGCTTTGACAAGTCAGGAATGTACCACATGTATATTTACACAACTGAGTCATTCTGGTCTGAGTACTAAAATACCTTATACTTAACTTTGTTTACAAATTTAATTATGCAATTTTACTAATGATGCAGTTCTTCGTTTCACTGTGTTAAATTAATGTTTACATGTATTAAGCTGTAACCAGTATCAGTAACATTAAAAATGATCAAGGATCCTCTCTTTCCAATAGCCTAATTTATCAACTTAAAATAACTTGACTTGTTGTTACCTAGTCTCTTACTTGGTGAAAATTAACTCTCTAATGCAATGTTGTAAATTTTCCTATCCGGCAAAAAAAGTATTAGAATTTAGTTAAATTTTGTGCCATTATGTATCACTAAGCCGTCCTAAATCTGCTTAGTCTGGTTATAAAATATTTGTCTTCTAAATTAAAATAGAACTTTCTACTTGTATTCCCTTATTCCTTCTTACCGTATCCTACATTTCGTATCTTAACATCTATAATATATTGAATGCGAATATCATTGCGACGTGTTTAGTTTTAATGTTCTATGCTAGAATACAGTTCGTTGAGAAA